CACATAGCCTAGAAGAGGGACATTTGCCAACATGTCAGGCGTGTCTCTCCAGTGCTTGAGCAGGGGCACACCACAGCTGCCGACTGCGAGCTGCTCCTGGCGAACTGCATCCCATCCGAGCTCACACATGCTGACCAGGAACCCGTCGAGATGTTCGTTACCACAGCAACGGTGTGGCTCTTTTGCTGTGACATGCAAGTGGCGTCTCGAGAAGTTGTGGTCGACGTACTGGGGAGGATGATCAGGGCGGCGGACATCTTGTCTTTCGAATCTGCCGCACCGGCTGATACCGCGGCAGGCATCTCGCAGGGCGGCAACGGCGTTGACGTCCGAACTGACCATCAGAAGCGGATCTTGGGACTGCGTGTGGAGAGTGCGACGCTGACGGAGCGGTATGGCGCACTCTTCAGGCGACTTCTGCATGCATTTGAGAAGGCGTACAAGCTGGACAAGCTCCGCGGCAACCAAAATGAGATCCGGTATTTTCTACACGGCGCGCTCAAGACGTCACACAAATCGTACGGGTCCACATGCGAGGTCGACGGCTGTCCCTGGATCGGGCACGTCAAGAGCGAGGAGGACGAAGGCCACTGGCATGTTGAGTGCGATCTGCTCTCGAAGAGCGTCAGACCCGCCTCCGCCGCGGGCACGCACGGCGAGGAACAGCTGGCCGAATTGCGGCCGTCGTCATCGTCTGGACCGCAGCCATCACCGTCGTCCGAACTGGTCATTTCATCCGACCCGCCCCAAGGGCTCGCCCACGCCGAACCACATTGCACGACGTCACACGACGCCCCTCCGGCGCCAGCAATCCGAAACGCGCCCGATTGTCCGAACTCGCGGTCTTCATTGTCGGCCGCTAAGCACAAGCCGCGGCGTCATGCGATGCGAAGGGTAGGGGAAGCAAGGTCGATGGATGAGCTGACGAGACCAGAGGCAGCGTGGGCAGAAGCGGGACGGCGGAGGTCCTGGAGTTAACAGTCCAGGCTCAGGCTGTACATGTATATTCCACCGGTGCATACAGTGGTAAATTATATCGGTAGGGCCATCGTTCATAGGTGCAGCAACGAATGCGTGAACGCGGAGCTCGGGGGATATATGCCCAAGACTCCTAATTATGATAGTGAATTGTTCAGCGGGTGGATACTATAGTGATATTCAAAGACAATACACGTGAATGAAGACCGTCCACCGCCAGTCGGCCGAAAGGCTGCTTGCCGCCACCTCGACCCCTGCAGGATTATCGATAGGATGCTTTTTCATTTGGGCAGGGGCATGCACTTGGCGCAGGCTAGAGCATGGAGAATAAGCTGCGAGTAAAGTGCGGAGACGATGCCGTCCAACGCACCCTCTTGGTCCTAGCTGACTCGTCCAAGGACACCACGGAGTCTCATTCTGCAATGCGAATCCTCCGTATCTTGCGTAGAAGCGAGCTGCTTCAGAGGACCAGACGACCCCTCGCGCTTAGGATGCCTTGCGTACGGCCAATACGCCGTGCCATCGCGCCCGCAGCTCTGCGAAGGATAGGTCATATGCCTCAGCTAAAAACATGAATCCGTGTGACGATAAAAATGATTGTGGTACCCACAGATCGCGGCCTCGCGCGAGCAGCCGACCAATTGCGGGCCCAGGGCCGTCTTGAAGGGTCACGAGACGCGCCGCCTGGTGTACCGGTACAGCCCTGCGTGATACTAGTGCGCATCACACAGTGTTCGTCCCATGGTCGCGATGACCTCACCGACTTGCATTCAGCAAGAAACGTGACGCAATATTTGAACTCGATCCAGACGGCGAGGAGTCAAAGACGACCCCGAAGACGTCCGGTCGAGGCAGGTGATGTCAGCTTCTTCGCGCCCCCACGAGCCAGCCGAGCTGTGAGTGGCCCGACTTGCGCGTTTCTGCGCATTGTGGATGGATAGGCCTGATCTCTTTCACGGACTGTCCTGTGGACTGGGGCACGATGGTGCTGCCAGGTCATCCAGTGCGTTCACAGCTCAAGTTGCGACTCACCGCCGGTCCCTTCCTGCAGAGCGAACGTCAAAGGCGTCAGAGAGGGCTTGGAGAGCAATTTTATGGAGCTGATAGGAAGTAAATAGGATCGACTGCCAGTGCGCGAGCTTCGGGCCTTCCCAGCTCGCAGGGTCTTGGCAGAGCAATCAGCAAAGGCAGTCATAAGGGCCATGAAGAGAAGCTCACTCCGAGTCTGGATATCGTGGGCCAAATAGTAGGTTCGACTACACAGCACTGCGTAGGCTGCATGTATGCGGGTCGGTTAGTGATACAGCCTGGGACCTTCGTAAGGTGCTAAAGCGTACCTTACTGGGTCCCTTGCCTATTCCCTTGCGCAGCTCTTCTGCTCCGACATTCACAGCGACGTGCATAGCTTTAGCTAATGGCTCAGGACCATATGATTGATGCAGCGGATGGCCGCTTTTGAGGAGAGAGAGCATGAGATGCCAAGTGTAGCCTGCATGGTACTGGGCAGCCATACAGGCTACGTTGATTGAGCACCCAGCGAAAAGGGGCGAGATGATGTGCGTACCGGAACCAAAATTTGTGCCATGTGTGCATCTGAAGGACGCCGGTTGATGTCAAAACAAGGAGCAGAGTCGTGCTTCTTCAACGCGGGATGAACTCGCCGATCATGCCGAACGCCACCAGGCTCACACCGTCACCCTGATACGGCAAGTGTCATTCGACGAAAGGCGACCAGTAGAATCTGCTTCATTCACGTCTACGTCCAAGCAAGAGAACAACCAAAGCCCTACGCTATGTCTCGCTCTTACAAGATCGACAGCATGACCCCTCGCCCCGAACGTCTCAAGCGTATCTCAATCTTCCACCATTTTCGCGTCTCCGCAATGTGGGCCAGCACGGCAGCAGCCCGGATGCTGCTCCTATCGAGCTTTCGTACAGAACCCACGGCGATCGGCTGGACGGCGGGATATTTACCCTGTAAGCATAGCGAGGCGTGGGCGTAAGAGGATGCCATACGGTCTCCAATCTGATGAGCGTGTCCGCCGGACGGGACATCGCATGTTGCGCAACCAGATGCACGAAGCCCCGTTTGACATTCTTCGGTTGGAGAGACGCTCGTTCGAGCGACACACAGGTAGTCCTGGGATAGATCAGAGTATAAGCGGGAGACGGCCAAGATCGTCGAGGGAAGCGGGACTTACGGCAGGGCTATAGTCTCCTCAAATGCCGGCGCCAACAGCGATAGACATTACCGGTATGGCCAATGTCATCAAGAGCACGCGAGACTGCGCACAAAAGCTTGCGATTAAAACACCCACACTCGTCAGTGTCATAAC